TGTATGGGAAATAGGCTATAATGGGTAAAAGATTGACTCCTTAGCCCTAAATGCACATGCACATTATGGTGAGTCATGATATAGAAACAGAGGGTATACTTTCCCAGCTAAAGTGGAATTTTCTGACAGAGCTCAATGCTTCCACCTTACTTGTTCCTTTCAGGGAGTGTAATTTTCCTCAGATAATGAAGATCTTTGTTCATATCTCTTCCTTGGGGATCTCACTAGCAAGACTAGAGGAAGAGAACAGATCACTTTTGGATGCATTCTGTTATTCTGATGTAAAGATCTAAAATACTACACAAATCATATTTCAGTTAGCAGAGATTTGGACCTTGGATAGCTGTGATTTACAGCCTTGGGTTGTTTCAGAATAAGAATTTGTAACATAAACATTAATAGTAGATTATAAATTCATACTCAGGTTTTAATAGCTAAGTATTTTGCTCAAGAAGCAGATGGGAATGAACTGGCAAAGTTCTATTCCAGCTGTGTGCTGAATTTGATGAGAAATGAACCATTTTGCCATTTCTGAGGGATGCTTTACTTGACCTTTATCTGCCTCTCATCTGTGGATGTGGTTTTGGGATACTGCTGCTCCCAAACAATCTCTCAGAATCATTAATAAAAGAGAGTTGTATTAAAAACTAGAGTAAATTCTTATTCCCTTTGGGAAATAAAGCAAATTTGCACAAGCTTGTTTAGCTAAAGCTAAGTGTAAGTATTTTGTTTTTTCTTGGTGTGGAAGGATCCCCTGTTGCCCACCTTGCTAGTGGTCTCCAGAGTGCAATAATCGTCAGCTCAGGAAAATCTGTTAGAAAAGACATGCTTGAAGGCTGTTGTTATGACATAGATATCTGATGCTTTCAGCCTCGGGGCATGTTTTTGTGTTAGGAACTCAAGCAATTTGATTAGGAACCTGTTTGCAAAAATTGTGCGTTCTCACTGTTCTTCATTAAATACAGAATTATGACTGTATTTGGGTGTATGTCTGGGCACCAGAAATTAAGTCTCTCATCTTTTACAATATTGAAGAGATCTGTAGGCTATTTAGCAAAGGCAGCTGTTGGTATGATAATTGCATTCACAGGAGTCACAGAACATGCAGACAAGTAGGCCTAATGACATGTTGCTGCATTTATTTCTGTTTCATTGAATTTGCTTTATATGGACCCACTAATTGTGGAATGTACAAATTTTGGTTTTGAGGGCTGTCAGACTACCAGTCAGTACTTTCCCAATACTGTGTGCCATGACTCAAGATCTTGCTTAACTATGTTAAGCATTTCATGCAAGAAAGCATCACTGATTTGTCAAGTAAATCCACACCTGTGTTGGTCAGTGCTGAAAGAGTTTGAAGCTGCCCTGGGTTTGAAACAGAATGAACTCACATGAAAGGAAGTGGTGTCTTTTTTGTGAGGTGACGGCCTCTGGTGTAGGGGTAGTATCTTGTAAAGATACTTTATTTTGATCCAGAAGACCATGTCTGTCTAAGCATTGAATTTTTTAACTTCCATTTCAGGTCATATGTGTTGTCACAGTAATGAATTGAAACAGGTTCTTAATTTTGTTCAGGCAGGCACCTGTGTGCGGTGAGAAGTAGTCCTAGTGACCTGATTTCTCTGCAGTGCTGCCAGGCTTTCTGTTCTATATTTTGAGCCTAAATTATATGCTAAATATTCTCATACCAGGGCCTTCTCAATCTATGAGCACACTCTTTGCTCCCTTGCACCTATGTGCAAGCTAGCTCATAAGCAAAATAGAGGTAAGGATTTCCTGTAGTCCCTTGCAGGCATATAGGTATTTTACTCGTGGGCATGTTCATATGCAGAAAACCAGCTTACCTCCAGACATTTGTATCCAACTGCTTAAAACCTTATAAAAAAACACACTGCTAGAAGCATGAAAACAGATGGACAGGATCAAAATCTTATTAATTTGGATTGACTGTTAGCTCTTATCTTGTGCGTCCAGCACTTTAATTTTAATGGCTTATTATAACTGGTGTTAATTATTCTTGTCAATGTGTCTTTTAAAGGCTTTTTACTGCAATGTCACGCTTGCATAACAAAAAATTGTCACTTAATGAAACTGTTTTGTTTTGTTGGATTAAAAAAAATCTTGTGGTACATGGAGCATTGTGGGTGCATTTTCCAACATCATAATAGCCTGAATGCCCAAACACAAACTTACTCTTTTTTTGATCTCTCTCTGTGGTCACACTTCCTGTCCTATTAGGATGAGATAGCAGAACTGAAGAAGAAACTGAAAATTATGACGCATCAGGTGGATCAGCTGAAAGGAGAGGTCACAGACAAGGAAGCAGCCCTTGTGCAAGCACATCTACAGCATCAGCAAACAGAGAAAGAGAAGGAACTATTGAAAGTAAGAGCCTTTACACATACACCTTCTTACAAAGGATGGTTTCTATAATATAACACATTGCATCATGTCATGGTCTGTCATAGTTATTTTACTGTATTTTAATAAGTTATTCTGTGATTGAAGCACAAGATCCCAGTATTGTTTAGAGGTATGAATTACACAAACCTTCTGTGTATCTGACAAGTTTAATCTTTGCCTATAATTATAATCAGAAAGGTCCTGGATTGTCTGTTGGAAGCTTTAACTCTCTTGTTAACTGAACATTTTTACTAAAAAGTTCCACTTTACTTGCAGATATATGGATTTTGAGTGTAGCCTGTTTCTAGCAAACTTTCTAGTATTGACCCTTACAGTTCAAGGTTTGGTGTTTGTTTTTTTTTTCTACTGTTTTTAAGTGCAAACCACATTATAGTATACTTCAAGATCTTGTATTTTTGTGTGACTAGCAAGCATTAGTCTTCTGGGAGTTAGGCAGTGCTTTTTAGTAGGTCCCCATGCACAGAAAGTTATTTTAATATTGTAGCATAAAGCAGCAAAAATCTGTTTTAAATCAAAGGAAAACTGACCTTGAAGCTTTGGTTCTTCTCAGCACTGGTTGCAGCTCATACTTAGAGAAGCTATTAGATCTGTGGTGGTATCTCAACCCAATTTTCTGCGCTCTCAAAAGATGTAAAAAGTCAGTGTCAACGGCAACTTATTTTTTCTCTTCACTAAGCACAAAATCAGAAAACAAGCACTTCCCAAAACCAAAAGTCCCCTGCCACTTTCCACAATGTTTTCTTTTGTCATTTTATCATTACCCTGCAATGACTCCTTCAGTTTTCAGCCCCTCTCATTACTGTTATGACAAGATGTCTATTGAGCTTTGTAAAACGGTGATGAATCTGTGTTCTTGTTCCCAATCTGTCTCAGTGTTGTGCTATCAGTGATCAAGAAGTGAAACAGTGTCTCGTTTCCTGTGTGCAGCTTTCTGCCTTAACTAGTCTCCAGTTCTCTCTCATCACCTCAGAACTGTCTGCCATCTATTTGACAAACATGATGGCTACATGGTTTACCCACTCAATTATTCACTAGCAAGTATGTCCATACACTGACATCACGTTACTGACTAGCTTCAGGGCATTGTGGTCTTCTACCTGAGTGTTTCTGCTGGAGAATTCACAGGGGACTGATTGGCACAGGCACAAAAGAACCCAATTATTTGTGTAGCAAGCCGGCTTCAATTTGTCCTGCTTGCACTGATGTGAAGGAAGCAAGCAGTTCCTGGGAAATCAGTTTAAAGAATGTGCTAAAGCGTGGAGGACTGAGATTCACAGGAATGAGATTATACACTCGTCGGATTTATGCTTGCCTCAGCCTCAGTCTTAAATGTGTGTAATCATGGTAAATGGAACATAGGATCCGAGCTCCATTAAAACCAGTACAGTGCTATCTTTTGGTTTCATTTGGCCTTTGTACGAGCTTGTGATCAGACTGGTTTGATAAAGCATCTGAATGTTGAAAAATAGGTATACAAAAAAAAAAAAGCTGTAAGAACTGTGGCCCTCCAGGTTTGAGCTACTGTCAGGTACTTTTCTATACTTGTGTAGATGTTCATGCATATCTTTTTTTAAAAGTATTTTCTAGAAATCTGGATGCAAAATGCTGATCTCATTAATTTCAACTTTCTCAGTCCAGCCCCCAGTTACACCTTTTACAAAGCCCGTAATTTCCTTCCCATCTCTAGAACAAATAAAAAAATACCTCTTCACTTCTCCTAATATTTCAGAATCCAGACAAGAATTTGATTTGAATTCAGTTTGAGATGTTGGCATAGGTCCCATATAAATTCTTCTTTCTTGCTGACTGTTATTCAATTCTTACAAACTCTTTCAACCAACTTCAAATGAGCTGTGCTGATTTACAGCACTTTCAGACCTGGCCATTTTTCTGTTTGCACAGTGACTGTTTATTAATTTCCTTTTCTCTTACCTGATGTACACAGACCCTCATACTGTAGTTTTTAGCATATTTAATCTCATTCAAAGTCCTGTTAGCGTCTGGGGCCTTTGTGTGGCTTAAAGTATTTATGTTCTTTACTGTACAAGGCAGTTCAGATTTATTTTACCTTAGTGCACTCCAGTGAGGAGATTTGTTTATATAAATGTTTGCTGCCAACATCTAATACCACTTCTTGTTTACAACTCATATTTTTTCTGACATAAGGAGAACATAGAATTTTGATATATTAAAAAAATATTATCCAGCAATGCCAAATGCATGAGCAGTTTTACATTTGTAGACAGCTTTTGCACAGCATTGATTGCATTTCAATATGAAGTGCCTTGAATTTTTATTTGGCTGATGGATTCTGATGAACATCCAACACTGAGTAAGAAAGATATGAGCGTTGCCCGTACAGGAAAATGAGAATTTTATTAAAGAAAATAAGAATGGAACAGGCTATTTTATTATGACAATGAAACTTTTTCTGTCTTAAATCAATGTTTTTGCCATCATCACGGTCTCATTCTTTCAGCACTGGATGATGGTCTTTCTGAAAAGGTAGCTTCAATACCATTCTTTATAAGAGTTGGAGTTGTGGCAAAGTTTTTGAGTCAAGGCTTGAAAGTTTTCATATCTGAAAATGGACTGTAGTCAGCTTGTTTCATCTTGGTTCTAACTCATTGCCTAAGGACGATAGAATTCCTAGTAATCCAAGAAGACCCTGTAAGCTTCTGTATACATGCATGCATTGAATTATAGAGTTCACCATAGTAGGATAGAATTACTGGGCAGATTCCAGCATTCATTAGTCTGAGTTAGAGGTGTGCGATCACTGTAACAACATGTTACTTCTGCACTTAGGGGCAGCCTCTCTTCCCAGTTGTCTTCCTCTATACGTCCACTAAAAAAGTGCTAAAGCTCTTTAATTTCATGCTTCCATACCTGATTACCATTTTTTCCACAAATTCCTGAGTTGTTTGCATTACATAGCATAGATTGTTGCCTTTTCCAGCAAGGTGAGCTATCCTTTCTCACATCCCAGCCTGGCTTTTTACTTATGCTAGGTATTCATAAGGTAACAATTCTTTTGAAAGCTTTCCAAACATGACCTATTCAAAATTTTTATCAAATGATGTACCTCTGAATTTCAATTTGAACCATTGTCATAGATAAAAATCCATCCACATTTCTGTTGTATATAACACAACAATATTAAAATACTCCTTACAACATTTCTTCATGAGTCTTCACGCATGCTTGTCTTAGTAATTTGTTCTCAAAAAGTAACAAAATACATACGTCTTAGGAAACTAAAAGAATGTATGAGATTTTATGAAAAAATCCTAACTCTGGATCTCAGGTTGATGTAATGGGAAGTTGTTACTAAGCACAGTTTACCTGTATTCTTTTATTCCATCAGGCTGAACTGCTTAAGATGAAAAAAGAGGCTCTGGAAGCCAAACACTTTATAGAAAATCAGGAGGCAGAAGAGAGAAGACTCCTAAAAATCATTGCTGAAGCTGATGCTGAGAGGCTGAGGCAGAACAAGGAAATTGAGAGGGTAGGAATCTCTAATTTGGCTTTTCTAATACACTGAATTCTCTTCCCTTGTTTATACCAGTGTATTATTCAGATCAAGATCCTCGGCTACTGTAAATGTGGTACTACCAAAGCTTTATTGTGCCATTGAAACAAAAATGCTTAGATATTGAAGTGTACAGATTACAGAGTTTATGCAATTCAGGTGACTGAACCCTTACAGGGGAAACTAATAGGTCCTTGCCACATTTCTTTTACTAATAAAAGTGAAACCTCTTAATGCACATGATTTTGACTGATGCAAATATAGTTACGATACTTTGTGATTGTGCTGAGGAACTGCAACTGAAAGCATTGCTTGCCCTCCACCTTTAGGTTATCACTGAGAGAGATATCCTAGGGGCCCAGAATGTTCAGCGCAATGATGAAGTGGCTCTGCTCTATGAAAAGATAAAAATCCAACAGTCCATCTTGAACAAGGGTGAAACCCAGTACCGGCAGAGAATGGAAGACATCCGGCTTCTCAAGCTGGAGATAAAAAAACTTCGCCGTGAGAAAGGGATACTGGGCAAGAATGTGGCTAACGTGGAGGAGCTCAGGTAGAAAAACTGGTTGGATACATTTCCATAGTGACTGCCTCCATGATTCTGTGTCTCATGCAAAAAATACATTTTATAAATGGTAGAGGTTTGTATCAACAAAGATTATACCTTGGAGAAGGGAGTTGTTTGGTTTTACTTCAAACTCAGACTGGATTATATTCACAAAATGGCATATCAGAGAGTTAAAATATATAAAGATGGAAAGGAGGAAAAAAGACATCTTGGCCAAAATTGAAAGAGTTTCCATATTTCCCCTTATGCTGTGAGTAACTGCCTAACAGAATAAAAGAGAGACGGGAGCAGAAAAGGTGCTCTTAGTTCAGTAAGCTACCTAAGTGATACCCAAGGCCCAAGGACTGCTTTTTATTAGTCAATTCACAGAGGATGAGGAATGCTTGACGTATTTATAACAAACCCTTGCACGTTTTCAGAGCCCTGTCCTTCCAGATTTATATACAGCATTGCTCTCTGAGAAAGATTTAGTTACATTTTCATTGAAGGTTATGTTTCTTTAAAACAGAAGTTTAATAGTCCCAGACTAATTTATCTCCTCCTCCTTCAGCTTAATGCTTCCCTTATTTTTTTAATTCTTCCATGTTTAAGGTATATTTTTTGCTGGTAGGAAACTATTGTCATTTTCTGTAGAATCAGTCTTGGTTTGTAAGGATAGACAGCTATGTTTTTAGCAGATAACCATCTGCTACATTTTTGGGTGAGATACTTAGTTTAACTGCATCAGTATAATTCCATGGCTTTCACCAGAGCAATGGAGCTTCAATCTGTGGTCATTGAATCCAGTGGAATTATGCCAGTTTGATTTGTTGCAACAGAAAAGAGAACAGGCCACAAAACATTAGCAGTTGTAGTTTTCATCGACTGACTGCAGACAGGAATAGGATTTGCACTCCTTGCCCAAATGCGTTCAGCTGAAAGTCTGCTGCTGTATTGAGGCTTGGTGACAGTATTGAAGTATGGTGTGATGCACACCATGATGGGTGGATCAATTCTTGCTAACTGCAGCAGCAGTCACATGCTTTAATGAAGTCCAAAAAACATAATGAAAACTGCCTGTCAAAAGACTCAATTTTTTACTTGTGCTGCTAGTTAGCTTTCTCAATTTCCCAACTGGAGATGTGGGGTTTTTTACCTCTTCCATAATCTTGTCCAACCTCACAGTTATAAAAAGGCCTTTTTCTCTCCAGTGAGCTAAATGCAACTCTGCGCTTAGCAGTAAAAGATTCAGTGAGAGAGTAGGCACATAGTGATCCTCCACCCCTTTTATTGTGGGAGAACTTACAGAATCCACCCATCAAAGGGATAAGGATTGGACCATTGCAGAATGTGCCTTATTTTCCTGCCCTTGACATCCCCATCTCCACCATAGGACCATAGTTGTCAAAGAATCTTGGAAGTGTTCTATAATTTTAAATTCAGCAACAAATCACCCCTGAAATTCCTAGAGGAAGGGTATTAGGAGTAAAAGAAATATAACCTGTGTTCTTTACAGAACTATGTCCATCATACTTAGCTCCTAGAGTGTGTATTATATATTGGATTGTGTGAGCTATATAGATTTACAACCTTCCTTCAAACACAAGCTGTCAGTTTCAATACAGGGGTAGCTGGGTATGACTCACTGACTGATTTGTAGGTTACTCTGGATGAATTAACCATCCTTCTGGCCTTTAATGTACAAGGGAAGATGTGGGCAGTGAGACCAGTAGGCTGTGAAGTAGATTGGCCAGGAACTGGTGAAAAGTCCTTTTTTAAGCCATTCTTACTAAAGTGAGTGAAGAGGTCTAATGGTGTTATCTTATAATTCCTATTGTATAGTGGTCTTACTGTTGACTGTTAATCACAAGAGTCACTTTGCCAGTGCTGTCATGCAAGGGAAAATGGTTTGTTAATGTATTTTAGTGCCTTGGTCCCATTGATGTGGTTTTGATGTGTTTTTTTTGTTTTGCCTTGATCTTAAGACATGAGATTTATCACATGCAGAAAGAACTGCTGAGGGCACAGGCTCGGTGCAGAGTTTTGGAAGAAGAACTGGAGAATCCCATGAAACTTCACAGATGGAGAAAATTAGAGGTGATGTCTCAGCATTTCAAGTCCTCAAAACCTGTATTACCAAATCAGTGACACAGCACAAAGCCTATTTAGTTTACTGTAATGCAAATAATGTGGAGGGTCAGGCAGACTGAAATTTCCATAGTACCAGTGGAATGGTGAACTGCTGAATGATATCCTTGCACAATGCAATCAGTGTTATTTTTGTGTCACTTTCTCAATGAAAAATTGCAGAGGGATTTGTAAAGAGCCAGTCAAATGCTGAAGGAAGTAAGAACGAATAAGGTGAATTTAAGAGGGCGTGATTCCTTAACGTGAGTGACGAGAAAGAAGATGATAGAGGAAGGATAAAACCCTACTGTCACCAATTAGGGAGATGTATGTAGGAAGAAAGCCAGAATTAGAAAAGGTTGTGGAACAGGTAGACTGAGAAACAGATAGACATGAAGTCAGAAGGTAAATTACATCTGTGGGAAAAGGAAGGGGCTCCCAAAGACAGCCATTCTAGGTAATGGGAGTTCAACTGCTATGTAAACAGCAAATATAAATGTTCACACTATATGAACACACCAAATGAAGGGGAAAAGTAAAAAATCAGTCAAGCACAGACCAAATATATGAACATCAGTTAATATCACTGGATATTTTTGAAGTAAGTCAGAGCCAGCTGAGATTCCTGTTTTGCATGGATCTCTGATCTGATGCCAGCCTAGGTTGCTTAGCTGCTCTGATAATGGCTGCTAACATGATAGTCTCTGCTGAAGCAGAGCTGAGTATTTTGGCTATGCTTACTAGCATGACAGTTAATTTCTGATCTTTCCATGCTGAGCTTAAAGCTGAATAGTGTGCTTAGCTTTTCTCCTGGAAAGGAGTTAAAAAGCAGGATGCTGAACTAAATTGAAGATGTCCAGGTATGATCTCCAGCAGCACCTTGTAAGAAGAGTAAAACAGGGAAACCAGAACATCCAGTGTTAGGAAAATGGATGTATGATTAGACTGATGATGGGAAATCACATCTTTCCATTCTGGGTCACTGATTTGTATTTGGAACACAGAAAGGCTAGCAGATGGCAAAATCCATATGAAATAATCCTGATGGGATTTTGGTTCAATTCCTAATGAACAAACATACTCATATCACTGCAGTTATCACAAATTGGCACCATGTTTGGGCAGCAATATCAAAATCAAGGACTGAGTGGGTTGTGGGGACTGAACTACTTATTCATCTGGTTTCTCAGGAAATAATGTTGTTTTAGGAGTTCCGCTTGTGTATCTGTGTTAGTGTCCCAGTTTACACTTGAATTCATTCACTGATTTAGATAAAATTGGACAAAAGATTAAGAGCCAGGGGATACGAAGTCCCTTATAAGCACAAACAGATATACAGAGAGCAGGACTTTATTGGAGGCTTTACTGCAATGTGAGTTTAATCCTTATGAGACAACAAATGAGAGAGGAGAAACCATGTAGGAGAGAGATGTGGTGACTCCATGTAGCAAAAAGCTTCAGTCAGAGCTTGCTCTTCATTAAAGAATCCAATGAGATACAAAGTAGTGGGAAAGTAAGCTTTGCTGGCTGCTCCTCTCAGAATTATGTCTCTTCCTTAGAGCTTCCTCCAGATGCAATCTGTGACAAAAGGATGAAAAGAGAAGAAAGAGACATTTACTATCTCCTGGTCTTCATAGGCTATGTAGATAGAGGGCAACAGTATAGTGCCTATATTGTGTCACGTTTTTAAGCACTTGATTCCACTGAAGCACGAGATGCCACATGTATGGATGCTCTAAAGCCTCATAATAGTTCCTCAATTTACTCCCATAATTTGTTCCTCTTAATTTCTTAGTGTGTTTTAAAAGACTGTATTGCAGTTACTCTTTGTTTGAGAGAAAAATCTTCCTCTCCTTAAAACTCAGTTGGCACTGTTTGAAGATCTTAAAATGGTGGGAAGTACTTGCACTGCTATTTACATGTCAGTTGGCAGTTTCAGTTTATGCTAAAAATTATATACTAATCTCCTTTTCTGTCCCTCCCATGTGGATCTCCCAATCCTTCTGATTTGGGGATTAAGCTCTGAAGAAGTCCTATTTATATTAGTTGTTTTGAAGAGGATTTATGAGGGTAATAGTGTTAAACATGAGCATGCTGAGATTGCAGTTTCAGGGCTGCTTATATACATGGCATTTCAAAAAATCCCAATGCTCCTTCTTTCCCTTGTCCATTTTATATTTGTCACTTTTGAACACTTGGATGTTACAGTTTCATTTGCAAGCAACTTGTTATAACGTATAATTTTTGGGACTGCTTTGATCTTGTCTAGGCCAGTGACCCAAGTACCTATGAGCTGATTCAGAAAATACAGAGACTACAGAAGCAGCTTATCAGCAAGACAGGTGAAGTGATAGAGAAAGAATTACTTCTTCAGGTACAGCAGCAGCATTATTTTATTGTATCTTATTAACATATTTTACTTGTCCTGCCTTTTCTGTCTACCCAGATGTGTTTCTTTAATGTTATTTAGATGTATGACTTTGAATTTCTTTTGCATGCCCCTTAGATAGCTTTAGATGGCAGCACTGACTCACTGAAAGAGAACAAATAGCCTCTGATTAGTTTATTTTTATATTCTAGTTATTGATACCTGGACAACTATTGAAGAGAAAATTGATTGATTTCGTTTATTCATGTCATAGATTAATCTTCAAGTCAGTGTTAGACTGGCTTTTTTGTGCATTTAAACATGCCTGTTATGACCAGGACATGAAGGAAAACCCTTGTTTGATTCCATTTGTTCTTAGATTGGCTTTTGGCAGAATGAATACTACAGAGTTGGTGTGGGTTAGATATGCTGATGTATGGGCCATGTTTGACTTCAAGGTCTTTGTGCTGAACTTTGCCAAAAAGTGATAGCTAATCTTTTTAAATCTGCATCAGGTGTCTCCTAACCCCAGTGATGCCAAAAAGACTTATGCTATAGAATCAAGGAGAAACTGCATGCCTGTAGTGTAAACATTGCTATCAAATATATCAAAAAAGGACTGTCTTTGGGCCTTAAACTGGGAATTTTGTCTCTTTTTCTCTGATGACTAGAGATAGCTACAGTTTGCCAGCTCTAGGTATGATTTTGGTCTTAAATACCCTCATAGTCTTGATCACTCAAAGGAGAATAGAATGTGGCCTGAAGCTCCTTCTGTCTTGAGAACAAGCTTAGCAGATGTTAGCAAGACAGGGTTTTGTCTCTCTTTATGGTTTTGTAGGAAAAAATAGATTTGCAATTTCATTTGAAGGTAATGTATGGTGTATTATGCCTTTGCTTGGAAAAATATAATCCTTGTTGCATAGCACTGAAATACTGCCAGTGAAATAGTTTGTTAGCTTAAACAAAATGTAGCAAAAATAGCTTAATATCTGCTGTGCTTTACCTGAACACAAACCCAATTCTGCTAGATTTTGACAGTCTCTAATGCGTATCTCGCCTTAAACTTAGTGTGCTCCCATTTAGTTGTTATCCTTATTTAGAAGTGAAGAACTGAGTTATAGAAATACTAAGTTGCCTGTCTAGGAAAATCTTTGAAATAATAGGTATTTGAGCCTATGTTACTATACTAGCCATTGTCACAGTCTTGCTGTATATGCAGCAGTCCTTCTGTGGGACTTGTACATTAAAAAAATTATATTAGTAGTTTTAAGTCAAAGTTTGTCTAGATGAAGTTTAATTATTATATGTTAATGAAATCTTTTCCATCCTAAATTCAGGCACAAATTTCCCATGCAACAAAGCTGAAATGAAGGCTCGTCTCAGTGAGATTGATGGTAAAGAAAAGGCCAGAAATACCACACTGCACATTCTGTTCTGGGTTTCATCATCAATGTTTCTGAGCTCTTTTCTGTTTTGCTGCAGTGTTTTTGAGTCCTCCACAGGGACTGAAATAGGGCTCTTTCATAGCAGGGTGTGGGTAAGGAGAGGTAATCAGAGATGGAGGAAATCGCCCAGCTAATTTCCTCAAAGGGCTCTATGCCCTACTGGATAGGTCACTGACATAGAACTGGCAAGCCGAGTGTACTAGCTGAGCTTCTGCTGAGTGTCTGGATAACTTTGTATGCGTAATTTTATTGTTCTTCAGACTTGCTTGTGTACATGTAACATGATATGATGAGAATTTCTGTTTTCTGAAGTGCTCTGATACTAAAGTAATAGTGTATGAAACAGTAAAGTTAATAGTGTATGAAACTAATGCTATCATGTTCCAAACTCTGCTGGTGAAGGAATGAGGTTGAGGAGCACCTCCAGTAGAAGAAAATGAACAGAGGGCAGTAATAAGCATCCTTGTAGAAAAGTTGATCAGGTATGGGTTTGGTGATCAGGAAGTGAGGTGGATTAGGAACTGGTTGAAAGGAAGGAGTCAGAGAGTTGTAGTCAATGGGGCAGAATCTGGTTGGAGGTGTGTGACTAGTGGAGTCCCACAGGGGTCGGTACTGGGACCGGTGTTGTTCAACATCTTCATCAACGACCTGGATGAGGGTATAGAATGTACCCTCAGCAAGTTTGCTGATGACACTAAGCTGGGAGGAGTGGCTGACACACCAGAAGGCTGTGCTGCCATTCAGAGAGACTTAGATAGGTTGGAGAATTGGGCGGGGAGAAACATGATGAAATTCAACAAGGGGAAGTGCAGAGTTTTACATTTGGGGAAGAACAACACCATGTCCCAGTACAGGTTGGGGGCTGAACTGCTGGAGAGTAGTGTAGGTGAAAGAGACCTGGGGGTCCTGGTAGACAGGAGGATGACCATGAGCCAGCAATGTGCCCTTGTGGCCAAGAAGGCCAATGGCATCCTGGGGTGCATTAGAAAGGGTGTGGTTAGTAGGTCAAGAGAGGTTCTCCTCCCCCTCTATTCTGCATTGGTGAGGCCACATCTGGAGTATTGTGTCCAGTTCTGGGCCCCTCAGTTCAAAAAGGACAGGGAACTGCTCGAAAGAGTCCAGCGCAGAGCTACGAAGATGATTAGGGGAGTGGAACATCTCCCTTATGAGGAAAGGCTGAGGGAGCTGGGTCTCTTTAGCTTGGAGAAAAGGAGACTGAGGGGTGACCTCATCAATGTTTACAAATATGTAAGGGGTGAGTGTCAGGGGGACGGAGTTAGGCTTTTCTCAGTGATGACCAGTGATAGGACAAGGGGTAATGGGTGTAAATTGGAGCATAGGAAGTTCAAGGTGAATATCCGAAAAAATTTTTTTACTGTGAGAGTGACAGAGCACTGGAACAGACTGCCCAGGGAGGTTGTGGAGTCTCCTTCACTGGAGACATTCAAAACCCACCTGGATGAGTTCCTGTGTGATGTACTCTAGGTGACTCTGCTCTGGCAGGGGGGTTGGACTAGATGATCTCTCGAGGCCCCTTCCAGCCCCTAAGATTCTATGATTCTATGATTCTATGATTCTATGAATAACTTTCTGCAGGGAGCTGAACCCATGTCAGCCCCATGTCAGGAGGGTTACTTCACCAGGCCCCCTTCTGGGCAGTGTATCCTTATTTATCAGAGAGTGTAGGGTTTGATCATCACTGAAATTTGCTATTACAAGAAACAGCAGTAATTTAGCACCCATTTATGGAATTTTTAATGTATGTCCCCTCAAAATAATTTGTGTTGCCTAGGGAGTTTCCTACCAGTATGACAGCCAGTGTATAATTCCCTCCTGCCCCATAAAGTCTGGGGTTTTTTTTGGTGTTTTGTTGTTTTTTTTAATGGGTCTCTCCTTGAAGACAACTTAGTTCAGTTCGGTCAATGTCTACTCATTTGCAGCACTGGGGGAGCTGCTGACCACTAGGCCTGTGCCTAGTTGGTGTAACGTCCCCTGTATTCAGAGTCAGAGACTGCAGGAGCTGAGGGATACAAACTTCCTAGTTTTCCCCATGTTGTGTTTGATTGCATACATCTCATCTCCTCACTCCCAGTCTTCCTCATCCACAACTTGCCCCATGACAAGGGCATAGCCATTGCATGTGTCTGCTTTAAAATGATCTTAATTTCTTGCTTTTATATGTGTGGGGCCATCTTGTTGGAAAATAGGATATTTGTTGAAGATGAAGCTTGTGAATGTTGATGATTTCTGTGTGTGCATATTATGTAACTTAAATTCCCTCATATCAAAGTGTAGTAATAAAACAGAGTGCAAAAAACTAAATGGGTTGAACATTAAGTATTAAAAGCACCTTTAGAATTTAGAAATAACCCACTGCTGGAAATGGTTGAGCCCAGCGTCAGTGGCCTGCAGTTTGATTTGTAGGCTCTTCACATTGCTGCATCCTCATGCAGAGCCATAATGTTTGAATAAGGGAGAAAATTCCATTTCTATTTTATTCACTGTAGTTCTGTCTTCTGACTGTTACTTTTTTTTTTTTTCTTTTTTCCCCAAATGGTCTTTTAAATAAAAGCTGGTTTATGCAGGAGCAATGTTTCAGGATTTTTCAGGATGTTTCAGCTGGATATATAAATGGAAATTTTTGCTAAGCAAGAATCACATTATATAGAACCATGTAGAAAAGCATCTGCTTACTTTACCTGCTCCTGTTGTGTATTTGATAATAGCCTTTTTATTAGCTCTTTCACTATTTCTCACTTGTTAGTTCTTTAGAAGTCATTCAGCTGTAAAAGCTTGCTACAATCCATGCTATGTGATTAACAGAATTATTCACTATGTTTCAGTCAGAAAATGTTGATTGCTGACAGTGCTGGAAGAACCCAGCTTGACTCTACAATCCCATATGAAAATACCTTCTTAACCTGTTGGCAGGGCACATTTTTTGTATGAGACATTTACTGAGAACTATTGAATATGCAACATAATGAATGTTATTGTTTTTTTAGAATGACTTTTCGAAGTTGGACACTTTAATAAAAGTGTAAAAAGATGTCCTATGTTATAGAAATTGTTAAACTCTTCGTGTGTTTCTGATGTATCTGTGCTCTGTAGCCACAGAATCTTGGGTTATAACCAACCAGCTCACATCCACCAAGTGAGGACATCCTGAGACTCTTAAGAGCAGCTGCAAAGCAGGGGTTCATACTTCCTCATTTAACTCATGCATTCTCATAATTGTGAGCTACTGTATAAAAAGCTGTCTTAAAAATCAGATCCAAAGCTAATGTCTTAAATACTCATGGTAAATAATAATCCAATGGCAAAAATTGCCAAACATAGGAAATGTTACTTCAGGGAGAGCCAACTTCCATATTTGAGTTTGTGCAGTTGAAAGACACAGCATTTTTTGGTTCTTTTCTAAACTCTTTAGTAATACTAAAGGTCTTTGGAGACAAATATGTTGTGTGTTAACCAAGGCATTTCAATGATGGGTGAAGGTCTTTGTGAACACATGTGGTATGAGTGAAATGTATTGGGTAGCCATAAGGTATAATTATTAAT